CACATGTTGGAGGAGATAGATCTTCAGAAATACAAACTCTACCTGAGTCATGTATTACAGCAAACCCTGTATCTGTTGCACTGGTTAAATGACTTGGTTGAAATCTGTTTTTGATGTTGAATTCTTTCATAAGAAAGTTATTACATCTTCAACTTTAGGTAAGCAAAAATGCAAGTATTCAATACTGAGCATTGCTTACAGCAATATATACTGATACATTATTGCTGTACTGATAAGGAAATGCAGGCCCGTATTATATTCAGAATCTAAGATCATTACATGAATGTAATGCAAGAAAGGCAAAATGAAATTGCAGGGATAGTATTCATAGGACACTTTTAAAGCAGTAACTGGTCAAGAAAATCCCTGAAGTGGCCCAAACGGTTAAGCACTCCATTAGTAGCTGAGAGGTTCGTGGTTCGAGCCCACCCAGAGGTGCCTGAAACATTTTAGATTTCTAGGAAGACAGGCCTGGCAATCTCCTTCCAAAAGGTCACAGTCTTGAAAACCCTATGGAGCAGTTCTACTCTGCGCACACACGGGGTTGCCACGAGTCAGAATCAACTCGACGGCAAATAATACAACAGTGAGGAAAAACCTAGCTTCCGTATTGCTACTGTTGCAGGCATCTGAATTGTAGTGTGTGAAGAAATAAATCAGAGGCTGTCAATGGCTATGAGAGTGCAAAAGGACTTATGGAAGGAGAGAGAAAGAAAACATGGTTCCCTGTATTGATTTGGAAATTTGTATTGTTACACTTGCTCTATCCTAATAGTGAAAGCAAATAGTTCGAGAATATTTGTAGTCCTACATTTATCACACCAGCTCCTTGTTTCAGAATCCCCTCGGGTGTTCTGAGATTACTTGGAGTGGGTGAAGTCCCTGTGACAGTCCTTTCTGTGGTCTCATCAGCTCGTCTGTGAGAAACCAGAATAGACTCCAGCGACAGACACCGATGATTTTCCAGTGTCTAAGCTGTGAGTCTTCTGTATCAGTTATTTTATAAGAAATGAAGCATCTGTTTGAATTCAGAGGCAATCAATTTGTTCTACTTTATTGGTTGCATAGTAGATATTAAAAAATTGTGTTCGTTTTTGCCTTTTATATGTTGTGGAAAGAAAACTGTCTCTCTTTTCAGACATGATGGGATATATGACTTTTTTCATTCATTCGTTGCTTCAACCAACTTTGAATTGGAGTGCCTGCAGATCAAGATACCTTTTGGTTGGAAGGGGAGAATCTACTTCCTACTTCCTTTCAAATATTCTAGAAACTCTTGTTGCATAAGAAAACACATGGGACATATGGAATCACATAGAGCTTTGTTGGATCAGAACTTCTTCCGAGGGCAGTTTTTGTGCGTGCTATCGAAGTCTCATGTTCTAATTTCTGAGACTCTTTTATCTGTCATTGTAAATCATGAGGCATTGAATTAGCATCTTAGCATGATACTTATAAAATACCCCCTCTGTGTTTATGGAATTGCCTACCAGTGAAGAAGGCTCATCATACTGCTCCCTTCACCCTACCAGCTTCACTTCGGTGGAAAATAAGGGCTAGGCATTATTCACATTGATCTGGGCACAGGGCTGTTTAGTCACACAGGACCCTGTGCTTTGTTTAATACTCTGCTGTCACTGTTTTGAAATTCTTAATCATCTACGAACAAAAGACCTTGCATTTTCATTTTGCACTGGTCCTTGCAAACTATATAACTGCTCCTGCCTGGCTAGCACTTGTTCTTGGCTGTGCTGATCTGCCCCTCAGCATCCCATCATACTCTGTAAACATGTCCAATCTCCCTTCAGTAGGAAGAGAATAAGCGAGCTAAACCCTTTCTTTTCTTTCTTGTTTTTGATGAAATATTTTTAAAACTAACTTCTAAAATATTGCTTCTTATGGCACTGTTAGGACTTACTGATTTTTAATAAGGCTGTAAGAAATATTCAAGTAGATTTCCAATCATACAATCCTTATTATGGTGAATTTGTTGTTGTTTGTGTTCATTTTAGGCTAACTCAAAGTAAGCAGTGTTGGTTTTATACTTTTTTTTTTTCTGGCAATTGATTATACTACTTGGCTTATGTTTCTTTACAGCATAATTTGGGAACAATTTAAATTGAAATGTTTTCTCATTTTTATCATGGGTTTAAAAAAAACGGCTGCCATCGGCTCAATTCCACCCTACAGTAACCCTAGAGGACAGAGTAGAACTGCCCCACAAGGTTTCCAAGGACTGAATGGTGGATTTGAACTGCCAGTCTCCTGGTTAGCAGCTGTATCACTTAACCACTGGGCCACCAGGGCTCCAATGGATAGCAAGCAGCTTTTTGCCCAATCCTGAGAAAACTAGCTTTATGTTATATAAATTGAGGTATGAAAGTATGTTATATAAATTGAAGCATGAACATTGGTAGCAAGTCCTCTGTGGGTTAAGTAAAATATTTTACCCAGAACTGTATGGAATTAAAAACTAAAACACTTAGAAGTATACCCATTAGCACCCAGAGTGCTATTAATAATTTTCGGAATACAGTTTCTACTTCTTTGGTGCCACCCAGAATGTTCAGTCTTACGGCTCTTCTGGGGGTCTCCTTTGTGACTCAAAGGTAAACGGAGTTTCCTTTTCTCTTAAGTCTTTGGAGAAGGCCTGAGTGTTTGCTCACTAGCTTTTAAAGCAGGGTCCCAAAACTTTTCTCTTTACATATATTGAAAAAAAAAAACAAATTCAAAGGGCTCATGTTTCTTTGTTCTCATTCAAGCCCACAATTAGCTGGAGTTCCATTCTGTGTAGCTAAAAGGAGGAGGAAAGGGATGACCCAGCAGGCATTTTACTACCCGCGAGAAAGTGCTCAGAGACTTTCTTTGTCCCTTTTGTCAGGGGCGGCCGCCTCTCTAATTGTCTGGCTGTAGGGAAGCACGTGCCTCTGGGGGTATTATCTGATTCCTACAGGACGTTCAGGAGTGCTTTGTATACTGACCCTTAACTTGAACACAAATCAGATCTTTTCAATCCCCTTCCCTGGCTGTTGCCTCAGGCTTGGACACCTAAAAGCTTGCTTTCCTTGAGCCAGAGGTGTAGATGCATTTGTACGGGCCTCAGGTTTTCCTTTTTCCCTCCCCTCATTGTCTTACCTCCGTTTTTGGTTTTTTTCGACAGCATCTGTGAGGAGGGAAAGCTGACAATGGAGGATAGAGAGGAATAGGAGTTGTAGAAGTCAGAGGGGAGAGAAGGCGAGACAAACAGCTGTTCCTGTCAGCAACGGGATAAGTGTAAAGAGATTAATAGTTATTTGAAGAGCAAATGGGGCCATGGCATTCTGCAATGGAATGTGAATGTATAAATGTAATGGAATGGGCATACGGCCGTTAACATTTAGACAGATGATCTCTGGATTGGGTGGAATGAAGGGGTTCGTTTTTCCTTCCCATGTGAAATAATTAAAGCTCAATTAAATCATTGTATTCAACTTAAGGTGTAATTTAAAATATTCTCAAAGCCCAGTGTATTTCTTTGGGAATTTGTTCTTCTCCACAGTTTTACTTAGCCTGTGATTCTCAAAGTTATATTTTTATTGAGGACCCAGGCTCCATGTTTTCTTAATAAAATACACAACAACAGGGCTGCCTTTCTCTTCTTCCTTTGCTTTTTTTCCCCCTTCGCTAACTTGCAGAAACAATGAGACTTCCACGTGCCAAGAAGGTTTCACAAAGGAAAATCTGTCCCACGGCATGTCTGCCCCTCCTGAAATGTGTCACATTTCCGAGGGTTTAGGAAGGATGAGGCTCATTTACCTCATCAGGCTTCTAGTTGTGAAGGAATAGACGGAACCCTCAACTTGGAGCTGGAAGATTTGTTTGCAAAATCGCCACTTTTTTCTTATTAGCCCATGTTTGAGCAAATTGCTTCCCTCTCTGATAGAAATACAGTAAAGCTGTTTTGCAGGTTAAATGGGAAAAAAACTTCATTCATTTTTCCATAAACATCTTACGAGCACCTGCTCCGGTCCATTCACATAGAAAACTTACATGCTTCTGACAGAAAGCGCTGCACGAGCGAGTATGATTCAGAATTATACCAAGGATAGGACAGTATTCACAACTCCACAGTCTACATAGTACACCACTTACTCACCCATGTTCTACTTCAGAAAATAATTAATTGCTACAAAGAAAATGAAAGAGAAGATTAAAAAAATTAGACCATGTTTGGATGTTATACTAGTATATTACCTTTTTAAATATATAGCCATCTCTCCCTAACTCTGCTACCCATGCACCCCCACCCTCCCCAAGTTTATATGAAAAGAGTTTCTTGGAAAGACTACTGGTACCCTAGGACAGAATTTAGGATTACAGAACTGAAAGGAAATTTGGAGGTCATCTGATTTTCCCCCATATACCACAATTTGATGCTTACGTACATTTTGGAACACGTCTATCATGTGATCTTTCCTATTCCCAATACTATGGCAGGAAGAAAAAGAAATGATGATGTAACAGGGACTATTAACTTCTTTAAGAGAATTTTCAGCAGCTACTGGGCACTGTGGAGCACAGTGGATCCCTGATGGCACAGTGGTTAAGAGATCAGCTGCTAACCAAAGGTTGGCAGTTCAAATCCACCAGCCACTCCTTGGAAGCCTTATGGGACAGTTATACTCTGTCCTGTAGTGTCGCTGTGAGTCAGAATCGACTTACGGCAATGGGTTTGGATATTTTTGTGCTGTGCACTGCATGTTTCTTGCCTGGTGTGTCAAGACACATATCCTACTTCCAAATGATTTTGAGGAGGCCACAGTCTCAAAACGCTTCCCGTAACGGCAGTGTGATCTGTGAAGGTCATTACAAAACACATAGGCCCCAAACTTCTCTTGGGGTTTCTCTATCACTAATGGGGATTTTACCGTGGATGTGAATGCATGTGCCAAATGATACCTTTTTTGGCGCAATAATCTGTGGCTTAAAGGCTAACGTCAGGGTTTCTGGGTGTCCTGCAGCCACAGTACACAAACCTGGGGCTCCTGAACAGCATGGACCAGCAGATTCAGAACGGCTCCTCGTCCACCAGTCCCTACAACACAGACCACGCGCAGAACAGCGTCACGGCGCCTTCACCCTACGCACAGCCCAGCTCCACCTTCGACGCCCTTTCGCCGTCACCGGCCATCCCCTCCAACACAGACTACCCAGGCCCGCACAGCTTCGACGTGTCCTTCCAGCAGTCAAGCACAGCCAAGTCGGCCACCTGGACGGTAAGGGCACCGGCCATACGCATCTGTCATTAAGCACGACCCCCAAGTGCAAAGATCTCCTTCCCGCACCCTAATGTGATTTTTCCTTCTCAAAGCCTAACAAATCTGTATTAAAAGGTGAAAGATTTCTCCTCCCCACCTCCCAAAGACATTTTATTTCTTAGAATATTTAACCCTGAACTGCGAGAGAGAAAGAGATCTCCTAACAATTTCAGCCAATATTTTCCTGCCTGCTTCACACACCGGTTGGGGAGCCCTGGTGGTGTAGTGGTTAAGAGCTCGGCTGCTAGTCAAAAGGTTGTCTGTTCAAATCCACCAACTGCTCCTTGGAAACTCTATGGGGTAGCTCTACTCTGTCCTATAGGGTCTCTATGAGTTGGAATCCACTCAATGGCAATGAGTTTGGTTTTTTTGGTTTTTACACTGTTGTGAGGTCCTTTGTGTGAACATACTGGAAAATGTAAAGCATTATGCCAGTTGAAAATAACATAATCATAGGATGTTTATTTACAATCCCCAGAATATGAGACATTTCCCCATCTTATTATTTTAGAGAAAGTAATGTCACAGTATGCTGTGAAAAATAAGAAATTCCATTTATGAAGGACGGTTTAAATCTGGTTATGCAAGTAGGCTCCATTATATGTTTATTACATTTAGAAACATTTTTTTTCTCAAAAAGAAGAAACCTACTAATCTACACATCAGGGCCCTGAACTAAAGAGATTCCGATTTAGCTGGAAATGAACAAAACAAAACAAACAAACAAAAAAATCTTTGCATGTACAGTATAACTTTTCTAAGAAAGCTTGGAATTTTTAAAAAAATTATAAAGGTACAAGATTGTTTATTCTATTTCAAAGTTTATTATTTTATGTATTTTAGCATGAGTACAGCTCAAATATAAGAGGAGAGCCTATAAGGTTGGATTTAATTGGTCAGTCCAAGAATGACAAAGATAAAAGTGACATGTATGTTTGTCAAACAGTTTAGAGAGTTCATGGATTATAGGAACATTCCAAATATCATCATCTTTTGGAAAAGTAGCTTTAGAATTTGATCTACCACTTCTCCCCACCATTGGCAAGTAGGTTTCTTTGGAAAGCATTTCTATTCTTATGCTGTATATAGTATCCAGTTCATTAGAGACTTTAATCCAGTTGCACACAGTGTTTAAAATAATCTGCATTCCCAACACGTGTTACATCCCAACATAATTTCACGTTGGTTCTCTCATTTTGACCTCACAATGCTTTATGAAGTAGGTAGGAAAGTTTTTACCATTCCTGTTTCACTAGTGATGAAAGCTGGAAGCGTGGAGATTACCTGACATCCTAACATTACCTATTTCTGATTTCTGTACTCACTGCCAGATTGTGTCTTTTCCTTCTTTTCCAGCATTTCACATCAGAATGTCCCAAATTTGTTTAAAAATTAATTTTATTTTATTTAACTTTATTTCCTTTTGTGTTCGAAAAAGGTTCTGCTGTGGCTAATATTTCAACCATTAAGTATAATTACTAGTTTAAAACTTGTTCCCCCCTCCCCAACCATATATTGCTTACCAATTTTATCATAATCTTTAGTCTCTTTTGTATTTCTAATCCTGGAAATGGATACTACAGGTAAGTAAATTTAGAGGCCTTAAATAAATATTGATTGCTCACTCTAAGTAATACTTCGCTGAAGAACCACTGGGATAACCATTTTCTAAATGGAGCACAATTGTGTCTTACAACAGCAGTTACCTGTTGGATGTTAACAATCACTGCTCTTCAAGGCTAATGATTTCTCGGTTGACAAATCCAGTCAGGGCTTTGTTATGAATGGGCACAACTCAGGGAATGCTAGGTATATTTGGGACCACTGAATAAATAATAGCTTCCCTTTAAAATAGTCCAAGAACCATGGGGAGCAAGCTTGATGTAAGTACAATACAAAATTGATCTTCTTTCCTCCTCCTTACCACATTCATCATATAGAAATCTTAAGATCTCTTTCAGTGTGACACAGCACACATCTAAGCCTCCCACACTCAAAGCCTCTTCACTCAGAGAAGTAAATTGTCTCACTAGAAAGGTTGGAGGATTTGTACTTAAATGGTAGGTTAAGAAGAAAAGACAATGTATTGATACAGAGTACACTAATAAAATTTCCTTACACGTGATGGCAGGAGTATCAGCACCCTGGAAAGAAGGGCTAATGGGAGCCAGAAAACCTGGATTCTAGTCTTGATAATCTATGTGACCTTTGCCAAGTCACTTCAACTTTCTAGAACTTACTCTCTGCCTCTATATAATGAGGATGGTGAAACCTACCCTTTCCTCAGATGAAATGATAATAAATCAGCACAGACGGTTTTTAAAAGGATTTAGATTGTAATCGGGTATTTTCTATGCCATTAACTAAGTGACATTGGTTAACGGTTAACCTGTTTTGTCCTTCATGGCTTTCTGTTCAATTGTCTATTGTTTACTCTGTAGACTTCACAGAGTAAGGTGATTGAATTAGATGTTCATTGTAGTGTTTCATATGGTGTTTATATTATTTATATTTTTATTAAAGCTCTTTCTTGTTCACAACTGGGCTTTATTTCTTCTGATTCGGACAATTGAAACTTCACCTGAGTAGCTTCTGAGATCACCTAAAAAGATGTATGTTCTTAGCCGCTGACACCAGTATCTTGCCCATAGCAGAATCTAACTCTTTGAGCCAAATTAAGTAGCATCACATTTCCACATGGGCTTCACATTTTAAAGGTATTTTCTCATAAGTTTATCTCCCTTGAGCCTCATAATCAAGGATGTTATCCCCAGTTGTATAAATGAGGAAACTTATGGAAGTAAAGATTATACAGCTAATAACCAGCCAAGGGGGGAGAAGAACCAGGGCCCCTTCACTTTCAGTTGAAGTCTCTCCATCCTCCTATGTAGACTGTCTCCTGATTGACGGAAGGCAGGGACGTACGGCAGCAGGCCCTGGGTGGTATGGAGCTGGTTTTTACACCCTGCAGACCAGCTGATGGAGGACTTTTTTATGTTGAGAATACACAGCACCTATTTCAAAGACATCTGTGCATTTTACAGCAAATTTCCAAAATAAAACCCTGTGTTTTAAAACTGCCCATGAACTGGAAGCAGCAAAAGTAACTGTCATTAGGGAAAGGCCACACTTAGCATGTAGTCTTCTGATATGTCTTTTAAAATCTTGAATAAAAATCTTTTTAGTACCATTTTATCACTGGCCATCCCTTTGTGTTGAGTTCTCCCTTTTCATTTCTGGTTTTACTTTATAAATATTTAAATTAATATATTTAAACTATATATCCCTTTTTTTGTTTGTTTGTTTGTTTGTTTTGCTTTTGCTTTCTCTGTATTTTAAATGGAGCCTGGTTGTGTAGTGGTTAAGAGCTCGCCTGCTAACCAAAAGGTCAGAAGTTCAAATCCACCAGCTGCTCCTTGGAAACTCTATGGGGCAGTTCTACTCTGTCCTATAGGGTCGCTGTGAGTTGGAATCAACTTGACAGCAATGGGTTTTTGTTTTTGATTTTGTTTTTTAAATAACAAATGTGATTGTGCTTCTGGTTCTGTAAAAATATTGCATTTATTTTAAACCCCTTCCAATGAAACAAAGTATGATAACATTTTTTCATATTCAGTATTTTACACGCATACAAACACATACTCTAAACACTGAATTTAAGATTTAGCTTCTGACTTCTTATTTCCACAGTATAATTGACACTAGCTATAGAGACCTGCTATTTGAAATAATGTAGTACTGGTCTAGTATTGTAGCTAGCTATTATCAGGCACAGACAGTTGAAAGAATGGTAATTTGGAAATGGCAAGAAATTTAGGCACAGATTTCAACCCTGAAACTTGCCAGCCAGCAGCACGTGGGACCTTCTCAAAGAATTCAGTCTCTTTGAACCTCACTTTCTTCACTTACAAAATGGGAACGTCATTACTTTCCTTAACATGAGGATTACACAGCATGTGTAACACACCTATCAGTGCCTGGCGAGGCACAAAATGTGTCGTAGGCACACAATGTTTATCCATTCCAAATCTGAATCCTTTTGTTTTGAGAATTTAATTTGTTATAATTTTGTTGAAAGTTCAGTTGTACATTATGGAATAATTTGAGAGACTGAAAAGCAGAACGTTTACTACTTAAAAAAAAAAAAAATTACTTTGGGGCCCTTAACATGCATACTTCAGCGCCAAGGGACTCTGATGCTATCCACTATCCAAATATATGACTAGATGACGTGGGATGATAAGAGGCCCTCCTGAATGCAGACCTCTGCAGGCTGGCTGTGTTTCTTTCCTGCCCTGCCCAAGAGCATACACGGCTCTCCTTGCCAGCACAAGGACAATGCCTTTCCAAATTCAAGGATCTGTTGGCTTTAGCCATGTATTCTTTATTTTTAATCGGGGATGTCTTTTTATATTCCCCATAATAAACAAAGGATATCACCAGGCCTCACTTATTGAAAAATCAGTATCGTAATTCGAAATATCAAGGTACTAAAAACAACCCAAGCACTCACTAACGAGGACCTAGTTAAATAAAGTCTGACCTGTCCATATAACTAAACTATATGGCCCTTAAAAATCACATGTACTGATGATGGAATGCTTTTGGAGTTGCTGGTGAGGAAAAGATAGTTTTCTATGACATCTACCTGGAAATTGAGTTGACAGTACTGAGCACCACTTCTAGGGGTAGAGTGTGTTTTGTTGTTGTTGTGCTTGATTCTAGTGAAGAGGCCTCTCCGTGAATATAGGGCCGTCTGTCTTGATTATTGGCTTCACTCTCCTTTGTTAGCTTGACAACTGTGCAAGCTCTGGATGCTCTGTAGAACCCTCAGGCTAGGTTTATTTATTGCGCACAGGCTGAGGGAATGACGTGCCTACTGGACATGTGATCACTTTTTGCTGTACCCAACACAATCTCCCGTGGTAGCTCCTTAATAAATATTAAGAGACTTTTTT